TTCATGATAGGTTGGTCCATATGAATAATACCTTGGGCTTGGAAAGCCCACTGGTCTTCAAGTTGTCCAATCTTTCTTGAATGCTCTTGGCCATAGCTCTAGTGATCGGGCATTTGACCCATGGTCCATCATGGAAGCTTTTGGATAAGCCTTAGAGAACCTCCAACGGAGGTTGCTTAAGATGTATCTTAAAGATAAGGAATGGTGCATACAAAAAAAACTACCATTGGAGTGATCTGATGTGATAAAGAAAGTTGGAAATTTTTTAGATCCGTTGCTTTAGGAAGGAACGGTGCTTGGGACACTGAAATGCCAAATGGAGAGCTCTCAATGGTTCATCCTTCCAAGTTTCCATCGCCAGATGGAGTGAAATGAGGTTTCCAGCGATGACGGATGGTAGAGCGTTGAATTGCTTTGTCGTAGAGATGGTTGCTATCGTGATTCATTGAAACGCTTGCATGTTCGATGAACTACTACTGCAGATGTAACACCCCAGTTTTCATACCATTTATTGAGGGTAATTGAGTAATTTTCATAAATTTACAGGGGTGGTTTAGTCGTCCAGAACGGGTCGTTCCCAAATTGGAACGGGTCGTTCCAGTCTACTAAAACAAGGGTAATTTAGTAGCTCAAAACGAGCCATTTCAAAATTGGAACAGGTCGTTACAAACTACTAAAAAGGCTTGTAATCCTAGTTCAGAACAAGGCATTCTAAATATTGTCGTTATGAGTTAAATGCAACCCTAGAACGGTTCGTTCTAGTTTGAGAACAGGTCGTTCTGGATGTGAATTTTACACATAACGTAAGAGTCCATAACAGGTCGTTCCAAATTTGAAACGGGTCATTCTGGCGATGCTTTATGCCTATAAATAGAGAGCTTTGGCACTCCCAAAAAGCACACTTTTCAATTCTGACTTCTTTCAGTTCTGACTTCTTTTCTTCTTTACTCTCTTCTCTTCTTCTGCACTCTCTGAAGATCGAGGGGAACCCAGCGAAGGAGACCAACCAAATCCTGCTTAGTTTCAGCTACTATTTATCAAGGTACGGAAGAAAAGAGAATTATTTGTATGTAGAATTACATGAGGGAATTGGGTAGAGGAAGAATTCCTTAGGATTATAGGTAATTTTATAATTATTTTTGTTTGAAGAATTAATGATAAAATTAGCTTTTGTATGTGTTGAGAATTAGAAATATATATTTAATTTGTAAGGATGATGATCTGGGAGAGAGAACTAAATTGTAGAAAAGTGCCTATGAGTTAGGTTTTAGAAGGTAATTTTATAATTATTTCTGTTTAAGGAATTGATGATCCAATTAGATTTTACATGTATTGAGGATTAGAAATATATATTTAATTTGTGAAAATGATGATTTGGGAGAGAGAACGAAATTGTAGAAAAGTGTCTGTGAGTTAAGTTTTAGAAAAATTGGGAGTTTTACTATTTGATTTAATATTGTATTAAATTGGTGAATTAATTGAGTTTTATATTATTGTTATAGATGAGTATTCATGGTGAATTGCTTGATGGGTATGTGAATCATTGCATTGTGTGAACTTATCTGTATGTAATATGGAATTTGAGTTATGAAATGAGATGTGTGGAATGTAAATGAGATGTGATTGTGGATTCTCGTATTGATGACCAGGGGTGAGCACGGCCCTAAGCTGCTAAAAAGGGTAGCGTGACCTTGGCACAATGTTATGTCAGGGGTGAGCACAGCCTTAGGCTGCTAAAAAGGGTAGCGTGACCTTGGCACAGTGTTATGTCAAGGGTGAGCACGACCCTAGAAAAAAGGGTAGCGTGACCTTGACATAGTAAGATTTGTGTGAATTATGGATGTGAAAATGATAATGTTAATTGCAAGATTTGTAATGATTGGTGTGATTGCGAATTGTGACGTGATGATGCATGATTGATAGAGTTAGGATATATTGAAATGTTTATGAATATTTTATTAAGTATCGAGTTATAATGAGATGATATGTTGTGCTTTCCTTATGTGCTTTACATATAGATGTTTTCTTTTCTCACCGTACAATTTGTGGATGTTTTAGGTGAGGAAGATCCGGCTATGAGTGGCATCTAGAATGCTAACAGTTGAGTTGTGGGTGTGCTCTGATAGTGTGACATCGAGGTAGAGGATCTTAGGATATAAATATTTAATTGGAGTTGTATCTTTCTTTTAAAAACAAATTGTAAACTCTTATGTTTTTATTTTTTTCAAGTTTCAATTATCTTGAACATTGAGGAATAATTATGAAGGTTTTATGTGAACCCTTTTATCAATGTTGAAAATTTTATTCTTTAGTTTATTTACATTTTTAAAATATATATATA